GTACCTCACATATAAACTTTTTGACAAATATTTAATACATCAATTAATACTTATATTAAAATCATATTCATGAAAGAGACTATGCACTCATTTGTCAAAAGTGGATGACTCGTAAATTTGACACCACTTCACCCAACACCTTAACTTTTCCATTGATATGACCTATGTTTAATTATCACTAAGCCTTAGTCTAATATTCCTTGTGACTAATGGTAGTCTAGATTCTTCAAAAGTCCCAATGTCTACATCAAAATCTGTCAAGTAAGGAGCAACCATGTATCATCATATCGGAGGTAGGGTCTGTTTGGTATACTGAGTATACTGTTTGCAAAATCCCATTTTAAATACCTCACTAAATCTAGCATAGACATCACCCTCGTAAGTAGATAAGTTAGTATAACGACTTAAAATCACTAAAAATTATTATTTATAAATTCATAATAAAGACTATGAATATAAATATAAGGTTGCAATTGAAATAGGATAAGGGTAGCTTAACTTATAGAGATTATCTCTAAAAAATTACACTAGAAGATCTCAGACCTGAGAGCTTCTAATCAGCAGGCTTGTAGATGCTTCAGAGCTTAGATAAATACCCTAAAATCAAAAACAAATCCAGAAGTTCTAATCTTAGAAAGTTCAGAGAGAAAGAAGTTGAGTTGTGAGGAACAATGTAGACTTTGGAAACTATTTATAGCAGTTTTTGCTAGGTGCTTACTGTGTGGTCCTGTGATGTCACTGCACCCAGATCGTGCCACGTGTTGCATTCCCTATGGTCCGCGTCACCCTCTAGAAGTTGTGCTCCGCATACTTTGCGTGTCGCCCGACTTTTCAATTTTTCTTAAAAACGTATCTCCCTCATAAGAGCTTCATTTTGGAGGTTCTTTATATCCACACTTAGCTATCGAAATGTGCTATGACTTTCGTTTAGACTCCATCAGCTAGTTCTCACTTTATTTTTAAAGTTATATTTTTAACAGGCTTAGACTATTAAAGTCCGTATAAAAATATAACTATTTCGTACGACATCCGTTCTCGACTATCTATACATCGTTGAACTCATATTCATTAGATATTTGGCTCTCATTTAGATTGTTCCAAAAAACATTCAAGGGATCTACAACTCGATTTCTGTGGTAATACAGTTACACGAAAATATTACAAAATTATAGTTTCTTCATATGAAGTCAGATTTGGATGTTCTCTATATGTGCAAGTTCTCTTTTATGATTACTACGACTTTCAATAAGATTACTTAGGATAATAAGCAATAAAAATCCAATTCGCTTTTCATGATGCGCATAGCCGTTTCGGTTTGATCGCGAAACTTTCAAGGAGCACAACTTCTTCATATCAAGTCGAATTTAAGCGCTCTCTATATCCACGAGATAGTCATTATGACTACTACATCTTTAGCTAAGATTAACTATTACATCTTAATATCTAGCCCTAATATGAGGGAGTTACCTTTACCTCCCCCTTATAATGATTATGTTGAAGAATCTTCAACAAACGGGGCTTATATAATGATTCCGCATGTCACCTTTCCATCCTGGGAAATAAGTGTAACTCCTATGTCTTTACAAACAAGTATAAAACTCTTAGATTACTTAACTAGTGGTGGTGCTCAACCTTGCATTTACCCTTCATGCTCTTTTGGACCTTCAATCCTAACCTTAGAATTACAAATTCGACCTTTAATGGAGAGTCGTGCTCCTTTTCCATCAGACTCTATTTATTATAGGGTCTCTAATTTGGCTATCATATGGACCGAATGGTCATGCTCTAATGACCTTTCATCGTATGATGCAATTGGCTAGAATCAAGTTTCTGTGACTCAGGCTCTAGCACAGAAGATACCTTCCTTCAAGTTATAATGTGATATAAACACATCATAGCTTGTGTCATTCCTAGCTAATGGCTTCTTAACCTTAATGTAATGCCCACAAGATAGTGCCTGGCGATTAAAAAGTAATATGATAATTATTCATCACTGTAATAAATAGATATTTTTAAAAGATTACTTAAGATAAATAATCTAAATGAAAGTCGTAGGAATCATAAAAGCAAGTGTGTGCATATAGAGAACACCAAAATCTGACATCACATTAGGAATTTATTATTTTTAAAATTTTTAGCACACCAATATACGAATCAGAAACCAAAATTGAAATCGGTCGATTGCTAGGAAAAACAATCTAAATGAGAATTATTTGACATATAATGGATATTGTATGAGAGAGTATTGATTTTTATACGTACTTTAATAGCCTAAGCTTGTTAAAGATATAACTTTAAAAATAAAGTGAGAATTAGTCAACATTATCTACCTGAAAGTTGTAGATCTCATCGATAGCTACGTGTGGATGTAAAAAACGAAAAAGATGCTCATTGAATAAAGTGTGAACTTTTTGGAAATATGATAAATTGTATGCGCAAGCGTGTAATGGGTTATGGACAACAACCCACATAATACCAGGCCAGCCAACAAACCCGACGTGGTAACATAGACACAAACACTAGAACCATACCAAGCACGTATAATAAGAATCACACTACCACCGTATACAACCTATAAATCATCACCAGGAAACATGGACAATGCAATCCTATTTTAATAAATAGTGTTAACCTTACGACATAAGGACCAACACAAGACCCATAAGAAAGGACAACGAACTGGTCCGGACCCTAACTATAAAGTAAGGTTCCATGCAATCCAAGGAAGGTAAGCACACCCTTTGCAGTCCTATCCAACTTGTATCCATGCCTTAAAGTTAACATCAAACTTAGTCATCGGAGAGCAATATCAGGGTTCCACCCTTGGCATGGCTTTCGAACCTACCTTTGTCAACTTTGTGCAACATGTTGCCAGGACTACTCATTAGAAGAAGCCCACGATGGGATACCCATACAAGCATTAGATACTCAACGTAGCAACATTGGTGCCATTCTTATATAATAATGCACGAAAAGAAACAAACAAGTCTCCAAAGTAATGATACACCTTTCAGCCCAATCAATCTTGTCCCTGCTTTCACACCAACGGTAACGATGACTCCAATTGTTGAACCCCAACAACACACACCACTTCCTACTTGATCAAACGAACACCATGAGACAGAAGCTAATGAGCAAACAAAACGAAGTGTAACACCCCTAAATCTGGGTTACACATAATAAGTAATAATTATTAAAATTAAATCCTTAAATAGGCTATTCTATAGTCGTGCACACTACAAACTATATAATATAGGTTTCATTCAGGAGAAATAAACTGAATCATCTGTAAATCGTAAATGAGTGCGCCAAAACATATATATATATATATATATATATATATATATATATATATATATATATATATATATATATATATACACACACATATTGTTATATATTTAGAAAGTACACATCGCCCTAATCCCAAAAATATGTATTTCGTAAAAACCGACTCCGTATGATAAAGATATGATTTTTATAAGATATAAAAGTCAGCCACGAATAAGGAATGTGTGACTTAAAAGCTACGAAGAAAATGATTGACTTTTAGCTAAAGTCACCAAAAGGAAAATCATAGTACTCTTTAAGATAAAATTTTGATAAAAAGAATGTCAAAAAAGGAGTCTGTATGAGAGACTTATGGTTTAAGCAAAATCATATAATCATATAAAAATAGGAAAAAAGAATAAATTCATAATTAGCTGATGGAGTCTAAAGGAAGGTTGTATATCTCATCGAGAGCTTTCTGATGATAAAAAGAACATAAAAAATGAAGCTCGTATGAATTTAAGGAATTTACAAAATTTGTGTTTTAGCACAACGAGTGCATGAAGTGCACTTATAGAAGGTGAAAACGCAGACCATAGAGAGGCCGAAATGTGGTAGCAAGTGGATGGAGAGATGTTTCTTTAAAATGTACGGCACGTACCTCATTTGCATGTCGTGCACCCAAAAAATCGTCTATAAATAGCCTCCAATGGCTCATTCTCTTTACACACCTCCCAAGTTCTTATTTCTCGAGTTGCTTTTGATTTTAACCGATTCTCCCTTAGTTTTAGTCTACGGCAAAGCCTTGCAATCCCTAAAGTAGTAGTAGTTAACAAGTAGAAGATCTGTCAGTGCAATTTTCGGACTTTTGTCTAGGAAATCTCTATAAGTTAAATTACACTCATCCTTATTTCGGTATAATTTATATTTATAAGTCATAGTCATTATTATGAGCCTACAAATAAAATTTATTAGTAATTCCAGGTCATAATGCTGATTGATCTACTTACAAGAGAGGTATCTAGAATGGTTACGTTGGCTTGGTTGGTCGACTTCAGAGAGGCTATATGCCGAAATGATCCTGCCTCCCAACTGTCATGCTTGGCTGATCCTTACTTGATAGATCTTGATGTAGACATTGGTGCTGGTGAGGAATCTTAACTATCATTAGTTGTAAGGAATATAAAGCTAAAATTTAGTAATGACCATACTTAGGTCGCGCCAAGGAAAAAGCTAAAGGTGTTAGGCGAAATTCTGCCAAAATCACTAGTCGTTCAGCTAATTCAGGTGAATGCATATTTATCGTCCTCTTACACATAAATACAAGCACTACTAGAAAATAGCCTTTTATGATGTGCAAAGCACGATACTCATTAATTTAGGTTACACAAACGAGAGTGACATTAAAAGAGTGCCATCTCTTCAGAAAATTAAAGGATTTAGGTCACGCATTATTGCATGCCCTTAAATAGTGTCATAAGAAAAAAAAACACGGAGGGCGCTGTATCTTAAATGCGCGTCCTCTGTAGGTGTCGCTTTATAATTTTTATGAACGTCCGTTGGTTAGTTACAAGTAGGAAATGAAAAGCCAAAAAATTAGAAAAGCCTGCTACCCTTTTTGCCTTAAGCGTTTTGACACATCTTTCATTCTCCTCTCACTATTGTGCAACTTCTCAATCACAGATCCAAGGTTACAATTTGATCTCCATCTCTCGAATTCATCATCTCAATCAAGAAAAAGGCTTCCGATTTCCATTCATCTGCTTCATCTCTGCTGTGATTTCACCTGCTTCATCTCTTATATTCTTGAGAATACTCGCCAACAATGTTCTTGCACTATTCCTTGACCTGCTTCTTTCCGTATTCTTTTCTCCACAATATCTTCAAAGACACTCTCACACGGTTTCTCAAAAAATCATTTGTTCTCTTTCAAGAACCCTAGCTATCACTCACACCACCATATTTGTAGTGTGTTCTGTTCGGATGTATAGGCATCGATGAAACAAGGAACCGTAATACGGAAGGCCACCCAAGTATTAACTCTTTAAGATTCAGACCGCCAAGGGTTCATCGATTTATATTTCCCATGTTAGAGTTTATGGCTAATATTCATCATTTTCAGGTTTCTTAATTTCCCAGGTCTGAATACTTTGGTATTCCTTTGATTCCCTTTTCCTTTTTTACTGATTTTTATTTATGGGTTATCTCCACATCTGCTAGATCGCACCACGACCACGATCGCCACACACTCTTCCAAGTTCCAATTGTTGCCACCCGCAACACCACATCTACATCGAACCACCAACACTACCGCAAACAAAGGTTCGAATTCCCCTTTCTCACAAGCTGAAAGATCAAAATAAGTTTTATGGTTAATTTTGCAAACTAAGGGTTTATTTTCATTCCAATTTCCGTTGAACAAGTCGGTAGTTTATCCATTTATCTCTTCTATTTTAGTTTTTCTCAAATTAGGTCTTGCTATTACCAGTCGTCATCTTCCTGATCATCTTCAACTTCTTGTTTAACAGTCGTCATCAATGGCAGATTACCAGATTCGTTGCTATTCGATTCACAATCATCCTTGACCATTTGACTACCCGATCAATTTTTGGAGTCTTCAGAATGACTACATGTTGTAGTGGAGTCGCACCTTGAAGCACCATTAAGAACCACCATTGATTCAGAATAATACTCGCTCATGGTTCGACAATTTGGCAGATTGAGACGAGCACAAGGACCATACATGACTTGCGCAACTTCATCATAAGCTAGGGCAGATTCAACCGCTGACCCGAAAGTTCCAAGCCATAATTGATTACCTCTATTGGGTTCTCAAATCTCAGCTACCCATTTACCCTATGTTCGTTGTTTTACACCTCTGAAATTTCACCTCGAGTTCTCAGGTTCTCCTCTACCTTTCATGAAACCTTTCTTTGATCCTTTTGCAGGAACTTTATTTGTTGGTTTAGCTTTTTCATCTAATTTATCAATCTTCTTGTCGTATTCCTTCCATTTCGCTAGAGTTTTTGCTACCCATTTTGGGCCTTCGTGTCTAGTTCGTGATTTTCTCTTTTTGGAGGACTCCATTAATGAAGAAACTTGAGTAGAATGAACCATCTGTGTGTTTCTGAATATAGAAGAAGAAATGAGCACACATATATTTAATATATGGGGTGAAGAAACAAGTGGTTAAGAAAACGCCAAATGAAGAGAATTTACTTGGTGCCGAAGTTAGTTACGATTTATTAAATTAAATAAAAAAAGAAAAATTCAATTTTATCTACTAGGTTTATTTTCATTCCAATTTCCGTCGAACAAGTCGGTAGTTTCTCTATTTATCTCTTCTATTTCAGTTTTTCTCAAATTAGGGCTTGCCAACTGTATGATGAAATGTCTGAGAGAAAAATTACAACCAAAAGTGCATTTTGATTCCCTTTCAAACACTTCAACTAACTGACCATATTACCCTTGTGGTAGTTAACTTTTGTATCATTAGTGAACTGAACTTGGTTCTCTCTAATGTGCAGACAAGAAAACTGCTCTCTTTTCTGCAACTCAAACAAAGAAGGTAAAACCTTTTTTCATACACATTTGTATATTTTAACTGTTTATTTCATTGTTTAAATTAAATCATGATAATATTTATTTATTTATTTATATACTTATTTCTCAGGTTGAGGATCTTGTACGCCTATCATTTCAAACTACTCCAGTGTACATTGATGTAGATGATGGGAGAACAAGAGTAAGCAAAATATTCTCATTTTTTTGTTCACTATATTTTTGAGTTTTCAGTTAGAAGTTATGTTTATACTTTATAATATGATACTGTAGACTATATCAAAGTCCGGATGATGAGTTAAAAATTAACTATAAATAGTAAGAAAGTTAATTAAATTCTTACATCATTGGTTGGGCAGACAATGAAATGAAGGAAGCAAATGGGGGAGTGTATCTATCATACTCCATTGTGCCATCGATGATACATGAAATTATTGGAAGAATGACATTATGCCAATGTTCTGGATAATGAAGGAAAAATGTTGCTAAAAAGTTTTAGATTAGTTTGATTATATATATCAACATGAAATGTGAAAGTGATGAAATATGAAAAAAAATTGTAACATACACGTTCTGAAATCATGTTATGTTATTATTAAGAGTGAATAAAATTGAGTGTTGAGTTCTAACAGACAGTTTTTACTAAAAATAAAGTAAAACTATGTTTAAAATCAGTCATAAAATATTAGAAGTCTTATGAGATTTCAATTAATAGCCATATAGTGAAATTTAGTAAAAATATAAAATTTGAAATAAGTAAAATTTTATTATTTAAAGTTGTAAAGAATCTCATTAGAAAAGTTTAGGCGAAAACCTCGTCGAAATCTGAGTTATAACGAAGAAGTTATGACCAATTGGAGATCCGCAATAAAACCGACAAACACTATATCGCGTAAAAAGTGAGTTTTCGATAAACTACTTTTTAGCCTTAGTGATCTAAATGAAAGTTGTAGAATTCGTGAAGTTAATAAACTTTCATATAAAGAACTTTTAAATCTGACTTCGTATGAGGAAGTTATAATTTTTCTAAGTTTTGGAATAGCAGTAGACAGCTAAAAACTCAAAATAAAGATCGAACGATATTTAGCCGACACAACCTAAACGAGAAATGAAGGTCTCGTTAATAGTAGTACAACGGTGAAAAGTCTGACGAAAACGGATGTCGGATGAATAAGTTATGAAGTTTTAATGGATTTTCCTGTCTCGGTCTGTTAAAAATAATAATATTAAAATTAAAGTCAAAATTAGCCGACAAAGTCTAAACAAAAGTTGTAGAGCGTAATTTTACCTACCCGTGCATATAAAGAACGTAAAAAACGGAGCTCGTATGCGAAAGTTATGAATTTTACAAGTTTTTGACTCAAAAACTGAGAAATTATGGATAAGAACCGGGAATTTTCGCATGAACAGTACCGGCCTCGTCACCGTATCCGAGCAACTTAGTCACCCGGTGATGAGGCTTGCCCGAAGCTTGATGCGTGGCCTCACATGTGAGACGTGTCCAAGCCTCCTGCTGTCTCGTGTCTTCGCTGCTGATTCACCCCCCCCCCCCCCCTCGCGTGTCTCTCTCCCTTGTTGCCATCTGTCCGATCTCGGCCGACCATCGCAACCTATAAAAGGGAGGCTGCGAACCCTCCCAGGTAAAATGGGATTTTTGCCATTTTTTACCCCTTTTTCCATATATTTAGTATTTTGACATCCCCTGAAGCCTCGATATCATTTCCAAAGCCCGAAACACGCCCCGAAGTTCTCTAGAAGCCCAAAAGATTTATCTTTTCGGGTTTGAAGCCCTACCTTAGCAGAGCCCAATTTTCAATTAAGCTACCGGTTTTCAACATAGAAAGTCATATTTAAAGCCGAAGTGCTGCCCAAATTACTATTTTGACCCCCGTTTAATTCAATGTGAGTTCAATATATAGGCACAATTGTATGTTATGTGTTATATGTGTTATATGCTTTTCAATGTTATTATTCCGGGTTATTTTTCCCGTGTTATTTTATTCGCTATTTTTATAGCAAAAGTAATACCTTTGACCATGTGATCAGTGACGGCACTTAGATTTACATTGGTACTGGTATGTAGCCTCTGGCCATGTAGAGCATGTCTCCGTAAGAGAATGACTTTTATTCTATGGAATTGGCAAATGGTGAGACAGGGCTATAAGGCTGAATTCTACCAAGATGTTAATCATAAATCTTATGTCTTTTGTGCCATTTGGGCCGAAGCTTTAATGATGTATATCAAGTATGGAAATTGTTATGTCTCATTGATTGTATATCTATGAATCAAGTCATTGAATGATATGGAAACCTTAACACATGATTTACATATGTCTTTGTTGTTCCTTGTTTCTCTTTGGTTCTTCCATATTGAAGTATATATATGACATAACGTTATATTCTATCTATTATTGAACTCACTAAGCGTCACCGCTTACCCTATCAATGTTTAACAATTGCATGTGATAAGTAACCAATATGATCAAAACTGTTGAAAGATTTAGAATAGTTTGTAATAATACTTTTGTACTTCAGCTTATGTTTGTATAAATTACAATATCTTGGGTAGTTATGTAATATATAACACTTTGTAATAGTCGGTTTGTATCCAGTAGTTTGTAACCTCTTTATCAATGTAAAATATTGCTTTTATGAGTATGCAAGTAGCATGTTTTAGAATAATAAAATTATGAAGTATGAAAGTTTGGGTCTTTCAGAAATATGAAAGTTGGGGTCATTCAATCATGGTATAAGAGCAGTAGTTTAAGCGAACTAAATGCCACGAATTGGTATTTAGACTTAAACTATTGGAAGTTCAATATATGAAATGAATCGTTATAAGTATATGGATACAAACATTAGGAAAGACTTAAGTAAAGTATTAGGTTATAATAAATCCTAATATTCTAAAATACTATATTACTCCTAAATTTCAGAACGATGGATGAACAAGTAAGTAGCCATACCCCTGAGGTTGGTGGAGGTCCTCAACCCGAGGAAGTGAATACTCCAGTATCTCCTCGTGAGGAGTGACTCTTGGGTAAACTTACCGGTGTTATTCGACAGACTCTCGAAGAATATAAAAAGAATGGTGATAAAGGAAAAGAGAAAGCCACTGGAGAATCTTCAAACGGAAAGGTGAAGTGTCTCTCGTTCAAAGATTTCAAGAGTAGTGCTACAGAGTTTTCTGGTGTCCTTAATCCCATTGTTTTTCTAACTTGGATTCAGAACACCGAGAAAGTATTTCGTGTCACTCATGTGGATGATGAAGACAAGGCTATCTATGCTTCTACAATGCTCATCGGAGAAACCTTGGTTTGGTGGGAAGCAACATATGAAGCTCTCAACGAGTATGATCAGGAGAATTTATCCTGGGAGTTGTTCAAAACTCATGTGCTAGAAAAGTATTGTCCTCTAGATATGAGGAGAAGATTAAAGAAGGAATTCATCAAGCTTAAACAGGGAGGAATGACTGTGAATGAGTATGAAACTCAGTTTAATCAAAGAGCAAGGTTTGCTACAAAGTACATTCCAACTGAAGATGAGAAAATTCAGTTATTCATGGAGGGACTACGACATGAAATCCATGATTTTGTAGCCAATCGGGATGTTCTGTCATTTGATAAAGCTGTTGAGTATGCTCGAAGGCGTGAGCATGACTTAGAAATATGTGGAGCCACTCTTACTATTCCAAAGCATCCATGTACTGAAAGAACTATTCCTGTTTCCACTATTCCACCAGCTCAATCTGTACGAACTGATCCTAGCAAGCAAGCACAGTCTCAGGGTGCTTTTCGTGGCTGCGACAGGTCACAATCTTTTTCTATTTAATCACCTTCATGTCACATTTGTGGAAGGAATCATCCGGGTCAATGCAAAATAGACAAGGAATCCAATGTCTGTTATGGATGTGGAGAAATTGGTCATATAAAGCCAGCTTGCCCAAGGAAGGATGTGACTTGCTATACATGTGGTATTACTGGCCACAAGAAGCGTTTTTGCCCTACTCTTACCAGCCAAGTGACGGGAAGTCAAGCTTCTGTTGAACAACCGGCAAGAAGTCAAGTCGTTGTTTAACAATCAAAGGGTACTCCAACTAAAAAGGAGGAGGTGCCAAAATCTAAGGGTCGTGCATTCTAGATTACCTCAGAGGAAGCACGCGAGGACCCGAATGTTGTGACGGGTACATTTTTTGTTAATTCTAGACCTACTCACAACGTATTTGATTCTGGTGCCTCAGATTCTTTTGTATCTTATGAATTTGCACATTCTTTTCAAACTACTTGCTATGCACTCGCGCAACCATTTCACATAGATACTGCGGGAAGTATATCTTTACTTGCTGATAAAATCTATAGGGATTGTGTCATAGAAATTGAAGGCTATAATTTTCTTCCAAACCTAATCCCTATTTCCTTGTGCAACTTTGATATTATTCTTGGCATGGATTGGTTATTAAAGTACCATGCAGAACTCTTGTTTTATGAAAAGATAGTACGCATTCCTATTAAACGGGAAGATCCTAT